GGGGGAGGGAGGCTATGGGAGGGTGCCATCTGGGAAGTGGGTGTATAGTTGAATAAGATGGTTTGGGATGTTCTGTGTGATATACGCATACACACACACAAAAAAAATCAATAAATTTTTAAAAATGTATTATATTTGAGAAGGAACCATGGAAATTTACATCATGTTAATTAGTAGAGTGATAAACATTACCATTGAAATCTACCCGATGACTTTATAGACATACCCAGGTGCCAAGGATCCAAGTGCAACCAATTATGACTAGTAATAATCAGATACCTACAGATTAGAGATGCATGCGCCAACATCTCAGTGTTAGTAGCAAAAACAATGAGTCTTTCTTCAAGAACAATGTATTCTAAAATGAAATGGAGATCTTTTTCAAAGGTTAAAAACTCATTCAATTTTATGTCTTAAAGGGTTTATACTGAGTTCAATATTTTATAACTGTATTAATTCAACTATGAACCTAGAAACTTACAGCCACTTGTGAAAGAGATGTACTCTTGCTCTGGAGTGTGTTACTGAATATGTTAAAGCTGTAATGAAACACTTCTTCTAATCATGTAGTTATTAAAAATTAAAAAAAAAACTTTGCCACCTTGCAGTTATCAGCTTTAGACAGGCCATTTAATCTTACAATCTTGGCTTTCTTTCACATCTTAAAAATGGCAAGAATGATTCTACAGAGGGTTCTGAGCATCAGGAGCAACATACGCAAAATACCTACTGGGGCCTGATAAATGGCATTATTATTGTCATACATGTATAAAAGGCTAAACAAAGTCACATGAGCCTTGTGGGGCAAACACAGGGTCTCAGCACACAGGTCTGCTCTCAGATCTGCTTGACAAACTCTTCACCACACCCCAGCCAGGCTCTCTGCCTCCTTCCCCATCTCCCCCATCTCATTTCCTGTTTCAATCTGGCTTGTACTCTGCTCACATATCTCCCTGTCTCCCTTCCCTTTTGTATCCCCCTGACAACGTCTTCAGGATGATTCTTATGTAGTAGGGGCTCCATACATGCAGTGATTAGACACTAAGTCCATGTGGTACCTGCACCTGCACAGCAGGCAAAGGGCACGCAGCAGGCAGGTGAAAGCACGCAGACAACAGGGCTTGACACAGAGAGCAGTGCAGAGTTCCCAGGCTGGAGGTGAGGCAGACTTCCATGCCCTAAGGACAAGGAGCAAGAGTGTCCTGGCTGGATGTGATCCAGGGCCAGAACTCTGGCTGTCTGTCCAGGGAAAAACCCAAGGACAAGACAGGAAGATGCCTCCCTGGTTAAGGCAGAAGATACTGAAGAAGGGAAGGAAATGAGTAGCCATAGAAATGAAGGTGTAAAGCAGAAACACGGGGCGGGGGGGGTCCATCCATCAAACTTGTACTAGAAGTGAGGTCAAAAGGCTGGGAGGGGGCGTTAATGTGGAATTTTCCTTTTTTTAATATTTTATTTACTATTTTTATTTTATGTGTATGAGTGTATTCCCTGCATGTGTATAAGTACAATGCTCACAGAGGTCAGAAGAGGGCATCAGATCCCCTGGAACTGGAGTTACAGTTAGCCACCATGTGGGTGCTGGGAATCAAACCTGGGTACTCTCCAAGAGCAGCCAGTGCTCTTAGCTGCTGAGCCATCTCTCTGGCCCCTTCTTTTTTTTTTTTTTTTTAGCACTATATAAGCAAGTTTTAGACATGTGACTGAGTTTGAAGTTTTATTCAGCATACTCAGGACAAGATGTCCAAGAAGCAGATGGTGATGTAAACAAGCCATCCAGGCTGATGGAGGAAGGAAGGGGTTATAGGGATGGACCAGACAACCTGAAGTGAACACGGTGTCCCAAGCTGCCCAACTACGTTGGTAAGTGAGTCACAAACAAGCCATGTGTGTATGTGAATTTTCTAGCAGTCATTAAAAAAGTAAAAAGTAGGCCAGCAAGATGGCTCAGTTGGTTAAGGTACTTGTCACCAAGCCTGACAACCTGTGTTTGATCCCCAGGACCAACAGGGTGGAAGGAGAGAACCGACACCTGGCAAGATGTCCTCTGACCTCCGCATGTGCACTATGGTATATATACCTACTGACATATACACAATTAATATCAAAGGGGAAATTTTTTAAAAATAAAAACGGGCTGAGGAGACAGCTAAGTTGGTAAGGTGCTTACTGCGCAGGTATGAAAACCTGTATACAATCAATCCCTAGCACCCACATAAAAAAAAATGTCAGGCATGGTGATGCATGTAATCTCAGTCTAGGAAAGTAGAGAGGCAGATCAGGGAGCGCTAGGTCCACTAAGAATCCCTATACGCAAAAATGTGTGACAGCGACTGAAGAAGACTACTTGAGGTTGTCCTTGACCTCTGCACACACCTGCACATATACATGTGTGTACCCACACACATGAACCCAGATACCCCTCCCCCCGCCCACACACAAAGTAAAAAGAAAGAGATGAGAGTAATTTTACTAATATATTTTACATAAAAATGTGGTTGGACTAAGATGCAAGTTCCTCTAGGGCACACAAGTAAAAACATGGTACTCACTGTTTCCGAAGATGACCGCTTCTGTAAACTGTTGCCTTGTATCCAAATGCTCTCCGTCACAAACGCTATGTGTTCTGCCTCAAGTATGAAGGGAGAGACGAGAAACAAGGCCCATTTGTTCAAGTCATCAATGGACTTTGAAGAAGGAAAAATAAAGAGGATTCAAAGTCACCTCAGACCACAATCGCCACGTACCTCAGCATGCCTGGCAGGCCCTCGCCTCCCTCTCCAGGTACATCTACACAAGTTATCTGACACTCTTCTGCAGACCACATTAACTCCATACTTCTTGTTTAACTGTGACTATTTAAACAATTCTGTGAGGGCTGGAGAGATGGCTCTGTGGTTAACAGCACCGGCAGCTCTTGGAGAAGATCTGAGTTCAGTTCCCAGCACCCACATGGTGGCTAACTACCAGTAACTCCAGTTCCAGGGGACAGTTCCAACGCCCTCTTCTGGCCTCCACGGGCATTGCAAGCACAGGTGCACTTACATGCATGCAGGTAAAATATTCATACACATAAAATATAAAGGAACAAATAAGTAAACCTGCTTTTAAACAGCAGGTTTAAACCCCTCCACGGCTCACAATAGCTTTAACTTTTCTGGATATTTGTCTCTGTGCAGGTACTTCTGCCCATCCTTCCTTTCCGCCTAGCTTGCCGGAGTTTTCCAAATCACACTGGGAAGCATGTTTAAGGGCGAGGCCTGAAAGCTCATGCCTGGCTGTACAAGCTCTCGGACCTGTCCCTTCATACATCACAGCACAGACTGTTTCCTTTAGGAATCCTATCCCTAGGGAAGTAAACACTGACCTCTCCTTGGGGTCTTTCGAGTGAATAATCTTCCTGAAATTTACCAAGAGTCAAACCCAGAGACAAACTAGACTACTTCAGGACAAGGCCTTGGCCCTTACACAGACAGATCAGACATGTTTCAGCATCAAGATTTTAGGTTTTGGTGTTTTTTTTCTTAAGCACCATTAGTGACTAGGTAGTAGATCAGATATCATTAGCCCTCCTTACATGTCATCCTACATCCCTGGGTTCAAACAAAATATAATTACATCTGTAAAAACAAGTACACTTTTGTTCTTGACCCGTCACAGTATAACTTTATTCCCACAGGGTTTGGTCTGTATTAGGTATTGGAAGCGACACAGAGATGAGTCTTGCATAGTGTGCAAATACTATGTTGCTTTACACAAAGGCTTGGACCACCCTTGGATTTGGGTATCTTGTTCTTTGTGAGCCTTGAACCTTTAAAAACCCATTTCCTTTCTTTTTAGAAAGATTTCTGGAAGGAGAGCTGTATCATGATTTTAAAAGGCCTACCAAAATTGCTGAAATTAAGGGACACCCAGAGCAGAAAACGCTGAAATCTAACGCTGCAAGGAGAAGCCTTACAACTTCAAAGCTCCCATTCCAGAAGTAGACAGTAGACGTGTGTAAGCAAAGCTCAGGGTTGGCAGAGGCTGAGCAGAGTGGGGAGCAACAGCAAGGTATCAGCAAGCTGCCCCTACTCTGGGCTCTGAGGCAGGTATCGGCCAAGCAATCAGACTATCACAGCTAACAGGCCAATGAAGTCATGAAAACGTCCAAAAGTAACACTGCCCACAAAAACCTCTTAACATTTCTACTCTGGTCTAAATCCTAAAGATTGAAATGAATTCATCAGCTTGGAAACCACTACCAGTACTTATTTCTGTGATCTTTCTTAAGCAGGTTAAGAGAATTAAGCCCAGATGTTAAAAGTCTCCATTGCATGTAATGAATGAACTGCCCCTTGGGACTAGGTGGTACTAGCTATGTCTAGATGACAGTAGTTATGTCTAAGTAGTACTAGTTATGTCTAGGTGGCACTAGTTATGTCTAAGTAGTACTAGTTATGTCTAGGTGATAGAACAATATACTTGGGAGAACTGAGAAAATTCATTGTATTTTTGACTTGGGGGTGCTTTGGGCTTTGTTGTTGTTCGCTGTTGGCACAATTTCATCCCAACCCTACAGAGAACCTCAACAAAAATGTTCAACCTGAAGTGAGAGTCTGATTCCTACATAGGTGCCACGGTATGACATCTAGGCAAAGTCTCATTTTCCCGCTCCAAGTGAGCCAACTTCCCAGAAGGATAGTGGAAAGGGCCAGGAAAACACTACAATGTCCAAGAACATCTGCCCGGTGAAGACCGCTCCGGAAACACTGCTCCCCTGCCCAGCTGGGGGGGCTGGGGGGGGCACCTTACACATCCCACTGCCCAAGGCAACGCTGGAGATGCCAAGCGGGGTGTCCTCGCTGCTAAAGATGCAGCCGACCCCGGGCGAGCGGCCGAGCTGCTGGCAGCGGAGCCAGGCTGGCTTCCCGGGCTCAAGCGCGCGGGGCTGCGGGGGTGCGGG